CCCAACCCGAAACCCTAAACCCCAACCCCCAACCCCAAATCCAAAACCCCAAAACCCCAAACCCGAACCCCGAACCCCGAATTCCCTGAAACCCTAAACCCAGAAACTCTAAACCCTAAACCCTAAATTGAAAATTCTAAAACTCTAAACCCTCAAAACTCTAAAACCCTAACCCGAAACCCTAAACCTCAAACCTTTAATATCAAACCTGAAACTCTAAACCCTAAACAAGAAACCCCAAACTTGAAACTCTATACCATAAATTCAAAATCATAAACTCAAAACTCTAAAGCCAAAAACCCTAAATCCTAGACACTAAAACCCAAACCCTAGACCCAAAATCTAAAATTTTAAATCCTAAATCTCAAACCCTAAAACTTTAAAACCTTAAACTTCAAGCCTCAAAATTCAAACCTCAAAACCTCAAAACTCAAACTCTAATACCGTACAAACCCTAAACTTCAAATCTCAAATTCCAAACCTTAAATGTAAAGGTAAACTACCCTTTTTATACCTCTTTTTTTATACTAAATCTAATTTACTTTTAATATAAAAAATCTAATTTTCCTAAATCATAATTTAACAAAAACAATAGTCCAAGTTACATATTTTCATTATCCACACTTTTCTCTTATTGATATTTTTCTAAGCTGTAATATCTTACTTGGCTACCTCTTTTTATTAATTCTTATTTGGTCATTTTTAGAGTAAAGTTATTCTTATTTTGACTAATTAAACCTTCATCGAGTTTTATAAGGATAAAATATGTAATTGCAACGTTGAGAAGCAAAATAGCCTGCCTCCGCTATATTCCAAACGGGGAAGGTTTGATTTTCTCCAACGTTGGCATGGCTTTCCAGTTCACAAGTCAAATACCTTCGAGTTCCAAACAACAATATTCTGACATAATTTAGCTATAATTTTTAAAGGGTATAAATTTGAGCACAAAAGTCACAAGACCTTAAATTGAAAGATCCCATTCCTAACAACAGCGTAGGTTTTGGGCCAGCGTTCTACTAGTGCAATGTACGGCGGAGTTTTTGAGGCCATTTCAAGTTTATATTTCTTCTTTCCACGTTGACAGAATATTAACGATTCAGGATCCCTTACCTTCCCTTCACTTCCCTTCCCTTACTTGATTGAAATTGATTCACAAACTCACAATTCGCAGTGCCAAATGCACATTATGACAGAGCCTTTGGTTTGTAAGTACACATTACACTGACAAAAGTTAGTTTTTGTCATCATCAACCTGCACCCTATGGTTGAAACACGTGCATAACTTGTTCTATATATTTAGCAAGTACGTAGTAGTAGTAATATCAATATCAATATCGTCTGTTTAAACTGGAAGAAATTGAGCATCATACATTAATCCATTAATTTTTGGCATTCCTTGATCTACCTTTTATTTGGATGATCGGCAACATAATTCCTCAAAGAAGGTGAGTGGGTGAGACCATCAGAAGCAACTGTTGTATTTTGAGTTCCATTCTTCTGCTGCATTCTTCTCCTTGCTATGTAACCTCTGATCCAAGGGGTAACATCCTCGCTGATCTTGATCATGATAAAGAAGATGACGCGGTAGATGACAATCATACTGAAAATGACACTGAGATCTACCCATTTTGACCGGTGCACATCAATCTGGAATATGTTTTCCAGTATGTACTCACCAGGTATCTTGGGAAGATCAGGTGATTGGTTGTCGAACAGCAATCCTTTCAGATCATTTTGGTATTGTCCCTGAAAGGCATACATAGACATGCCTCTTTAATTGCTTTCAGCAACCCTAAACCCTAAAACCCTAAACCCTAAACCCTAACCCCTAAAACCCTAAACCCTAAACCCTAAATCCTAAACCCTGAACTCTAAACCCTTAAACCCAAACCCTAAACCCTAAAACCCCAACCCCTAACCCCTAAACCTTACACCCCTAGCCCCTAAACCCAAACTCTAAACCCTAAACCTGAACCCTAGACCCCTAAACCCTAAAGTCCAAACCCAAACCCCTAAACCCCAACCCCAAACCCAAAAATCCAAAAATCAAAAGCCCTAACCCCTAATCCCTAGACACGAAACCACAAACCCAAAACATCAAAACCCAAAACCCCAAACCTAAAACCCTAAATCCAACCCTAAAACCCTAGACCCTAAAATCTGAAGCCCCAAACCCCAAAAACCATAAACCCTAAATCGAAAACATAAACCTGAAACCCTGAACCCTAAAACCAGAACCCTAAACCCGAAACCCTAAACTTGAACCCTAAAACCCTATACCATAAATCATTAACCTGAACCCTAATCCCTTAACTAAAAACTCGTAAGTCAACACGCCAAAATCAAAAACCCTAACTGAAAAACTCTAAACCTTAAATCCTATACCCAAAAACCCCGAACCTCAAGTCCCCATTTCCCAAATCCCCCAAATCCTAAAACCTCAAATCCTTGATAATTATCGATGAAGTACTCTAAGGAAAATACCTATAAACTAGAGCAATTGTCTGGCAAGACATACCGACTTGTGAAATCCTACTTTAATACCTATATACCGTATCATAAATAGAGCAATACCTATCAACCCGAGAACTCCAAGTAAATACATATGCCAACCTGAGCATTGTTGGGTGGAAATCTAATAACGACCCGAGCATTGTTGTGTAGAGACGTACCTCTAAAATTATGAAACATTTTCAATCTTCAAATGATTTTATGATATTAATTCATTTCTTTCATCCATTAAATCGTTTTTTATTTAAAAAAAGCATGATTAGCTATGTGAAAATTTTGTTCAATTGGTTGGTTTTTAGAACATAAACATGTTCTTCGAAATAATCTTGCCACGTGTCATCCTTAAAAAGCTAAGCTTTAAAAGGTACTGAGTTTACGTTTATAACCAAGGCATTACAGAATTTGTCTCTGGTTTGTAAGTACATAGCGAACTGCCAAATGTAATTTTTAGCATCATCAACCAGCTCTGTAGCCTATTGTTGAAACAAAGGTTATATAACTTATGCTCTTCAACAAACAACAACAGTAATAATATGGTCTGTTTGAACTGAAAGAAATTAAGCATGATACATTAATCCATTAGCCTTCGACATTCCTTGATCTATATTTCAGTTGGACGATTGGCAACATAGTTCCTCAAAGAAGGTGAGTGGATGAGACCATCAGGAGCAACTGTTGTATTTTGAGTTCCATTATTCTGCTGCATTCTTCTCCTTGCTATGTAACCCCTGATCCAAGGGGTAATATCCTCACTGATCTTGATCATGATAAAGAAGATGATGCGGTAGATGACAATCATACTGAATATGACGCTGAGATCTACCCATTTGGACCGGTGCACATCAATCTGGAATATGTTTTCCAGTATGTACTCGCCAGGTATCTTGGGAAGATCAGGCGATTGGTTGTCGAACAGCAATCCTTTCAAATCATTTTGGTATTGTCCCTGAAGACGCATACATAGATATGCCTCTTTAATTGCTTTCAGCTACGTAAAGATCTTAGGATTTATCGATATAATGTATGCATGCATGCAGGCAGGCAGGCAGGCAGGCAGGTTCAGTGTTACCTGTAGAGCCCAGAAGTGGAAGCTAATGTATGACATTGGGTATCTCCACACAGGCTTTGGTATGTCATTTGGGAGCCTAAAGTACCCAGATACTAGCATGAATATTCCCTGACAATGACATGAAGAAAACACGCAGTTAGTTGATTTATTTATTGCAAGTAAAATTAACAGAAGAATACATAAATATAGAAACCTGAATTCCAGCCCCAATGATAATGCCCATGAGGAAATTAGGGACAATGCTGGCTATGGTCATCATCAAGCTTTCAACTACGGTGACACTCGCATAAAGGCACAGCACGAAGAAAACATAATGTTCAAATCCTGGATGAAGGCGGACCATGAAGTAACAAACAGTTCCAGAAATAAAAGTTATCATTATCAGGAATGGCATTGCAGAAATGGTGTTGCTAATCACAAATGCGACCACACCATAGTGCCCATTTAGCCTCTCTCTTTGGAAGACCTGCGAAACGATAAAAAAAAAAAAAAATTAAACTAGCAAGCGCCATCATTATTGATTAGCAGTCTTGATAAGGCACCTGTACGTAACTCGTGAGCCCGAGTAAAAAAAAAAAAAAGAGTAATTAATTACCTTCATTTCCTCTACAAAGGAAGGAAACCCACCAATTGACATGAACGTGACAAAACCAAAGACAAATGAGGCACACGACCCTCTTGCCTGTTCCAGATTAATCGAGAGAAACAAGTATATTTAGTTAGAAGAGAAGATGTTTACTCCTCCTAAATAGCAACTAACTACGCTTAGGAGCATAGGATTGATATATTTCATTAACAGTACCAGTATAGAATTGTAACCCGTCCCCACGTTGAGATAGATAGTTCCAATGCAGACAGTGACCACAATATAAATCACTAGTCGAAGCCAGTAATACCCAAAGTCCCTTGACATGTTGATGAATGAACGCTTTGTTAAAGTGAAGGCCTGCATCAAGAAACTAGCCTGGCTCCCTCCTGCTTCTAGCACATTTCCTTTCTGCGACCAGACATCAATTACCAATTAGCTACTAATTTGAAGCCTATACAGTTGAAGAGAAGGCCTCGCTAAAATTAAATCAGTGAAGATAAATATTGATCAGATTGCAAATTGGAGAAGCACCACGAAATTAAATCACTTACAACTTTGGATATCTCCTCTACTTTTTCTCTTGCTGCATAACAGTACTGAGAAGTTCGATAGTGAGCAATCAGAGTTCTGATAGCTTCAGCCGTGGTTATCTTCTCCAGAGGATCATCACTTGCCTCAAACTTTGCAGAAACATAAGTTGCTTAAGTGAATTATCAATCAGACCTCAAGCAACAAATCAAAGAGAGGAAGATATATACAAACATGGAGATTTAGAATCAATTTCGGGAAGGAAGAGATGAAACTAAGCCAATACAATCATTAATTGCCCAATATTAGCACTCATCCAGACCCTTAAATTATAATAGCCTATGGCTAGAACTCGTCAATTTTGAATAGTTGGCTTAACGATTACATGAAGTCTTTCTCAATGAAAAAAAAAAACAAAAAGAACTGTGTTTTTAATATCATCTCATCATTTCTGTCATTAATATTATAGATGCAAGTCGATAATATGTCCTTAGCCTCTAAATTTAAGAAATTGCTAGTGCACAAGAAAGCTCAAGTATACAAAAAAAGAATCAGAATTGAAACTTCATTTTTAAATTAAAAAAAAAAAAAAACAATTCGAAAACAATTAATTAAGAGAAAATGAGATACCCGCAGTTTCATGGACCCTTTCAAAGTAGCCTTCACTTTGTCGAAGTCAGAATTGATGCACCTAAGGAAATGATCAGAAGGGTTCCTCAAAGCAGGGCAGGGAAAGCCAGCTTGTGCAAAGAACTGTAAGAAAGAGCTAAAAATGATTAACAGTTTGAATTAAATGAAAGGGATCAAATGACCATTTAGATTAAACCAAAAAAATAAAAAGAAAGTGACGTTTCTTGCCTCATATGCCTCTGAAACCTGACCGAAGTAAACAGTTTTGCCTCCTGAAAGTAAATACAGTCTATCAAAAAGCTCAAAAACCTCACTGCTAGGCTGGTGTATTGAAGCAATGACAGTTCTGCCATCTCTAGATAAGCCGCGGAGGGTCTGAGTTACAAAGAAAGCAGAAGCACTGCCACATATATAAATTATCAAATAATTATTAGAGTCTGATGAAGGAATTGGAAAGGGGAACGCCATGATTTCATCAAAAACAAAAAACAAAAAAAAAACGGAATGTTAGGAAACAGAATAGAATCACTGCCATGAGAGGTGAAACATGCACCTATCAAGTCCACTAGTTGGTTCATCAAGAAAGAGCAGTCGGGGCCTCATCAGGATTTCAAGAGCAATGCTGACCCTTCTCTTCTCTCCCCCACTGATCCCACGCAAATGCCAATTCCCAATAACAGTATCGGCACAATCTTGGAGACCCATCTCTAATATGGTACTCTCAACCAAGGCACGCTTCTCGGACCAAGGCATCTTATCAGGAAGACGTAGCCGAGCTGAATAGGAGATTGTTTCCCTCACCGTCAGAGTACCAAGCAAGTTGTCATCTTGTGTCACATAGGCCTAATTAAGTTCAAAAGGATATTATAATTAATTAATAATTTCTGATTAATTTCCCTCTTGGAATAACAGAACATACAATAATATTGCTTAAACTATGTTACAAAACATGTGCTAGTGATTAATTACACGTAACTTAATTAATTAAGAGCTAGAAAAACAGTGCATATATGTGGAGTATGGAGTAAGAAACATAGAAATGAAACTAGAAGAGTAGGAGCTACTAGCTAGTGTAGTCAGTACTGACAGCGGTCCCGAAAGAGAGCTTGGTTTTGCGACCATTGAGGAGAACCGTTCCAGAGAGGAAGGCATTAGCAGCAAGGCGACTAGATAGAGCATCAAGGAGAGTGGATTTGCCAGAGCCAGAAGGACCCATAAGTGCAGTGAGAGTTCCAGGCTCTGCATAGCCAGTAAGTCCCTCCAAAACCCTCTGTGTTTCTCCATTGCTGAGGGTAACCATCACAGTCAGATCCTTCCATGTAAGCCTTGCCGACACATCTCCTACGAATTCTGTCTTGGTTCTGTCCCTCCAAAGGGTCTCGCTTAGAGGACTCAATCCTACCATTATTCCATCTGCAACCTCTGATGGCATGCTTGCCTCTATCTCCATTGTTACATTATTCGTTGATGGGTTCTTCGCCATCCTTTATATGTATATTATTATAGCTTGTCTTGATCAGGAGAGAGATGGGACGCAAGAGAGGATTGAGCTAGCAAGCTAAGGTAAAGATGCAGCTGGAGGTATATATTGTGTGAATTTGACCGGTGGAGGAATAGAGTAGGTTAAAATAACGAAGTCTCATGCAAAAACAGCCTCAACAGATCAACAACTCGGTTACTTTTGCTTTGTCGTCTTTGGTGTGACAAAACAAAAAACCTGACACCAAGCAAGCTGCAACACAATTTTTACCACTTTTCAACTTCACATAAAGGTCATGTTTGAGATCCAGCTACCAAGCAAGCTAGCTAGCTTCAAGAATCGATTAGATTCGAGTAATCTCAGACATAACCGAATAACAAAGTTGATGCATCGAATTAGCTAGAGGAATTGTGAAAGAAATACTTTAACAAGAAGATCGTAATCTTCTTAAAAAGAAAAGATGATGATGATGATGATGATGATACGAGTGAATTGGTTAGCAGATATTGGATGCATCAACAAGATTTAGACTACACCATTTTTCCCATTATTATCCAATAAATGAGTTCTGGTAGATGGTGGCAGCAGCATTTAATTCAAGACCGACCCCCATTTAAAAACCCAGTTGTTAGTTTTTCATCTTCTATTTCTACGACATGATTGGTTTAAGTGTATTTTAGACTATGCTTGCCTCTACACGACAAACATTTTCAAAATTAATTACCATGATTATTACATTTCTAAACACCTCCATCCTCCATAATAAATGATGAGAGTGACTAGTTAGGTAGCAGTGGAGGAGTAACTCTTTACCGCCCATCACTTCGGCCATCACCTCTCTCCCTTTCACACCAACAGCCCATTACTTTGGTCAGACTCGTCACCTCTCTTCCTCTCAACACACAGCCCAGTAAAATAATACCATATCGAGGATGATTACTTGTTTTCTTTTATAATAATTTGTTCTTAAAAGATCTTAAATGGAAATAAATAAATAAAATATTATTATGAATTTTAATTTCAAAAGAAAACATCAAGCAATTAGAGAACAAGAACAAATTGATTTTTAAAAACTGTGGCAGCTATGTGTGAAATTACAATTATCGAATTTCGTTTACATCATGCATACAAAGTACAAATAATCAACTAATTGAAAAACAATTATAGTAAATAATTCATTCTTCAAAAGGAAGTTGATAATTATAAAATTTTTGTATTTAAAAAATGATTAAATTAAATATATTATTTTTCCAGTTCATTTTCATGAAATAACTGAGTATATATCAAAATAATTTTTCATGATAGGAAAAAAAAATCAATTCCAGACAAGCAAACGCCCTTATTAGGCTTCGTGGAGAAAATGTAGTTGGGCCAGTACCATCTGAAACCGAACCCATTGTCAATTGGAAATGGAAGGCAAATGCCCAGCAATGAAAACGCAAGTCCCTCTGATTTAAGAAGCTTAAAGTGGGCTAGAGATACAAGTTGTAGCTAGCCTCGAGTTCCAGGCCCGGCTTTCCTCCCCTTTACGGATAATCGAAGACTAGAGAAACTAGAGCACTGATTATTCTATTGCCTGCTGCATGTTGAAACTTTTCTAATTTAAGCGAGCAAACCAAAACCTAACAACTTAGAAGTTAAAACTCGGATCGTTTTGTTTGGTTGATATTCTTTATATTTTTGTTTTGAAAAACTTGTTTTTTAAATCGAAAACCAGCAACTCAAACTGCCAGGAAAATCATAGTAAAAACATATAAAATTGGTCTCCTTATTGATGGTTATAGCAAACAGTATTCTTAGTGAGCTCCGAAAGTGGGCCATAAAAATTGTCCCCTGTATCATTGTCAACCAATCAAAACTTTCAATTTATACGCGTGTATTTATTAGAAAAACGAGATCCAATAAAGTTGGGCTAATAAAAAACCAATTAAAAACGACCATGTAAAGAAAAATAACTTCAAACCCCTGGAAGAAAAAGGGAAGCATTTCTTTCTCCCTCTTGAATGCGGTTAGCTCGCTCTTCAAACGACTTCTTTTCGTTTGATATACATAGCGAACAGAGCCATATCTGTACTATTTAAAATGCCATACTGATATTTTGACACTTCAAAACAGTATATTGCCTTGGAGATGCTCTCCCTTTCAAATACTATATGGTAGGGATGATTAGTGTTTTGAAATAATTATAAAGCCGAAGATAAAAGATCTTTTAAAACACAGGATAAATAAAGTACACTAATGGGCTGGACATGATAATTTAAATAAATAAATAAATGGTGAAAAGTGAAAACAGAGGGCTCTAAGCTTCAACCAAAAGATGAAAGGATCAGGACTACAATGAGGTGGGGAAAAAGAGATAGAAATATTGTGGTTTTCACAGTTACCTATTCATAGTGCAAATGAGTCTTAGGAAGCAACATTTTTTTTTAATATTAATTTCCAATGTCAAAGTTAATTGTTAATAAATGGAGATGATTGGAAGTAATATTCAGGACTAATATCCTTGTTAGTTATATTAATTTATAGCTTAGAGAGTAAAGAAATCTAAATGATTCTTTAAAAAAAAATGATGTTGCCGTGGCATTATTATATAGGAGGCAAATTGCAAAACTTAAATTTAATGGCACCCTAACAAAATTATAATTAGGAATAAGTCTCTTTGTAAAAAATGTATTAATAACATATTGATCTTTTTTGCTTTGAAAATTTTTATAATGGAACTTGTTAAAATTTATTCTTAAGAAATCAATAGGTGAATTATAAAAATTGTGATAATCAAATGAGATTTTGTATGTTCGTGGATGCATGGCCGACATGGCTCAGATGTGTATGACATGTTTGTTGAATGATTATGTGACAGTGACACGACAACTAAGCGATAGGATGTCAAACATTTAAACACTCGACCATTATATATTTTGTCCGAAAAAGAAAGAAAGGAAAAAGAAACCGTGGATGACATGAAAAATATTATTGTATTTTGCATGTTAAAAAAAGTTGTGGAGTTATTGTAAAAGTTTCCCGGGTCCACCATTTACATATTATAAAGGTGCTAGATTGTGTGATAAAAAATAATTCGAAAAATATTTTTTAATTTTTAATTTATATAAAAAGATGAGTGCAAAATTTAATATGTAACATGTGAGATGAAAATTGCTATCCACAACTCAAATAAGTGGCCAGAATAGTTAAAAAAAATCCATAACTCAAAAAAAAATAGAACTCAAATGTTATTGATTTGATAATAATTGCGAGCAACAAATTTAAGACCATTAAAAAATTGAAAGCGGGGACAATTTTTATTATGCAAAACAACAAATGATGAATGAAGATATTCAAAATAATACATGATTCCAATTTCCAATCATGACTAATTATGTTAACTCGTATAATGTTTTTTTCAAGTTTAAAAGAGCAAAATAAAATTTCTTTCTCAAGCATTATAAATTTATTTTAATGATAATTACTGTTATATTAAGGTATTTGAGAATGTAATTATTATTGCTTCTAAAAATATTTTTTTATTTAAGAATTATTTAAATATTTTTTATTTTTAAAAATTATTCTTGACTTCAGTATATTAAAATAATATTAATTTAAAATAAAAAAAAATATAAATATAAATTTTTAAAAAATATTTTTAAAACATAAAAATAAATAAAATCATTATCTTCAATGAGTCGTCCAAGGAGATTGCTAGCTGATTTGAAGGGATCCTTGCATTCAAGTGTCTCTCTCCGCCTCTATGGATTGGAAAACTTTGAAAAACGACGCTGTAATTGGGTGTAAATTCTATCGGTCTGAAAATCGCAAGAAAAAAAATAAATAGCAGCGGTCCCTCCAAAAAAAAAAATTGGAATAGTAAAATTAATGTGGTGTTTTTTGTTTTTTCATGGACAAACCATGCCTCCTTGTAGCATCAAGTCTGTACGAATTTTTGACGAGCCGGTGAGTTGTAAAAATATCGGAGCGAACTCTGTCTCCAGGCCATGATTAATCATTACGGCCCCCCCTGGAGTGGGAGAGAGAAAGAGTGAGCATGGGAAGTGGACTGGCTCTCCCCCTCGAAAGAAAACATTTATGTAGGAGAGAAGCCTACAAAACATCCGTTATTAATCACTGGTCCTGCGGTGAGGGATATCGAATTATGAAATTGAAACAAGCACGTGTTCCAAGCATATAAATAATAATATTTAAAAATATCTCGATGAGATAACTAAAAAATATTTGTGATCGTTTGACACTGCGGCTAATAACGGAACATGGCAATAACAAGAAGCGTATTTGGTTAATACAAACCATATATATATATATATATATATATTTTACAGACCATTAATTTTCATCTGTTTTTCTTTTCTCTTTTACGTAAACATAAATGATGGAGACTGTATCCACTATTTTGACCGGACCAGTCTCAATTTAAAGTTAAAAATTTATAGAATCTGGTACAATCCAGTATAATAAAAAAAAATCAAAGTAATTTTTTATTTTTAATTATATTTTATTTAAAAAATTAATATTTTATATTATTTAATACCACTATATAAATTTAAAAAATCATTTAATGTCATAATATTTATAGAATTTGATTGTAATTTTATTTTTATTTTTAATGATATTTTACTTGATATTGATGTGCACTCATGAAACTATAGTTCTTATCAGATATATTTCATTCGTTATAGAATTATAGACAGTTTAATATAATAAAAAAATTATTTTATAATAAATATTATTTATTTTATGATGTAACAGCAGTAGTTAAATTTATAATATTTAAATTAAAAATCATCAAAATATATATATAATCTTAATTTAAAAAGCATTTTTAACCAAACATTTTAAATTATTTTTTGTTCAACTTCGATTTCAACTATATTTTTAACTAAATATCATATCAATTTTAATTAAGAATATTTTTTATAAAATAATATTTTTCAAATTAAATATCATATCAATTTTAATTAAAAATATTTTTTATAAAATAATATTTTTCAAACTACAACCAAGCGGCTACCATAATACTAAATAAATTCAAAGTAATAATAAATCTTAAATTAAATCCAAATCAAATTTTTAACCAATTATAATCTTGTTTTATAATATTTTAGGATGTAGTTAAAATTATGTTTTAAATTTTTTCTAATAATATTAGATATATAAAAATAAAACTTTAGTATATCTCAGTGACTATTTTTCATTACTTTTTTTTTCCTTCTATTTCTCTATTATGTCATGTTATGTCAGTTTATCTTTCTTTTTTTCTTGTCCATGAGATATTGAATCTTATTCACTGGTTATTTCGTTTTCATAGGATTTTTTTTTATTTTTTGCGCATAATAATTCATTTGGATGGGACATATATTTTAAAACAGACAATATTTTGTAAAAGTGGTTATATATAAAATTGATATTCAAAAAACGCAGTTGTATTGTGTTAAATACCTTTTCTACCATGTTTTGCTTTTTAAAAAAAATCTACCAAATTATTTTAGAAAGCTAAAAGTCCCCCTGTGACGAGGTTTTTTTTTTAGCATATTTTATTTTAAAAAAAAGTTAATGAAATAACATAATTTAAATATGATTTTTATAATTTGTTGCTATTTAAAATAATAATATCTAATAAAAAATATTAAATAGACTAGAGAGAGAAGCCAATCATAACATGTATAAGTATTTTTGAAAATGTTTTATTGTTTAAAAAAAGTTATTTTTTTACTTTACTTTATTTTAAAAATTATATTTTTTTAATATACTAATATTAAAAATTATTTTTAAAAAATAAAATAAAATTATTAAATATATTATTAAATAAAAATAATTAAAAAACAATCATTAACAATATATTAAAAGACGTGGAAAAACTATAGTTTTTCCACTCCTTTCACTTTTTTATTTTTAATATATTATATTATTATATTATATTATAATCATAATTAACGTTCCCATCTTTAATATATTATATTATTATAATTACTATATTATAATAATAATTATTATTATATTATGTTATATTACAATATATACTAAAAATTAAATGAAACACTATATTATTTGTTTTTTAATGGTTTTTGTTTTTTTTAATAAATTTTTTTGTTTAATCTCAGGTTTGATGGGTTAATCTGATTTGACGAGTAAACCTGAATTTTTTTCTTTTTAATTAATTTTTTCATTTAGTTTAGTTTGTTAATGTTAAATTTTTTTATATTTAATTATAAGACTTTCATGACAGGTATTCTGGATTTAATAGGTTAATCCAGTTAATTTTGGGTGAACCCGTTGATTATTTTATTGTATTTAGTTATCAAACTTTCATTGCGTGAATCATAGGGTTGAAGGGTTAACCCAATTAATTCAGATTATTTTTTTTCTTCATTAGTTTTTTCTTTTTATTGGTTTTTTACTTTATTTTTTCTTTTTAATTAATCTATTTAATTATTACATTTTTATGACATGAACTTACATTCAAACTCACATCTAATACTTCAAGGTTTGGTGTTGCAGCTAGACTCACTTAAACTTAAGTCGTGTAAGTTTAATATTATAAATAACATTCCTGGATCAAGCATTACAGATAAATCCAAGGCTTTTGAGTATATCTTTGCAGAAAGACCTAATACTTTTTTATTTTAGTATTTTTTATGCAATAAAATAAATTAATCTGTGGTATATGCCTTTATTTTTTTTTTATTAAGCCTTTTACTATTTATAGCACAGTGCAATCCATAGTGAAAAAACTTATGCTTTTAATTTGTTTATTTTTTATAGTTTCTTAATATTAAAGTTTTTCTATTTAGTTATCAGGCTTTCATGACACGGATCTCGAGTTTGATAATTTAACCTAATTGATTCAGATTTTTTTCCTTTCTGTAGGTATTTTTCTCTTTGTTTTTTCCTTTTTAATTAAACTTTTTTAAAAAAGTTTAGTTCATTAATATTAATTTTTTTTTCTATTTAGTTATCACATTTTCATGATATAAATCTCATGTTTGACAAGTTAACTTGATTAGGCAAGTTAACCCAATTGATTCTGATTTTTTTTTTTTTCTTATTAGTTTTTTTTTCTGTTAGTTTTTTAATTAATCTATTTAATTATTATATTTTTATGACACGACCATGTTGTCAGACCTTTATCCAATGCTATTATGTCTGGTATTACAACCAAAACCACTTAAACTGGGGTCATACAAGTTTAATATTATTATTAATATTATAAATATTACACTTAAGTTAGACATTATAGCCAAACCAAGATTCTTAAATATTATTTTACAGAAATAATTAATACTTTTAAATCTTAATTTTTTTAATATTTTTTATGTAAAATAAATGTGCAGGTCATGTATCTAGTTAAATATAAAATTGCGTAATTGTAATTGTATACATTAGTTCTAGTAGCGTGTGTGTATATATATATATATATATGTAGGAGTACTGTTGATTGATTAATTAACATCTGATCTCGGTTTGAACTAAATTTTATTAATTAAAGCAGCTAATACGCCCTAGTAGCTAAAAGCTGCAACGAAAATTAAGCAAATTAGAGAGTTAATTAAGGCGTTGGTTTGTCTGTCAGCCAATCCTTCGTTTTCTTCTGCATTTTTTCTTGCTGTTATCTGTATTTATATGTCTTGATATCAATTTATTTCTCGAGCTAGGAGAGCTCTCTTTCTGTGCAAGAAATGAAACAAAATTTGGGGTTTGATATTTTGCTTCCCTCTTTAAGATCACGTGTATTTATATGTGTGGGGGTGGGGGGTTTAAAATAATAGCGAAGAAATCGCCAAAATAGCTAGTTTGAGGTGTCTCTTAATAGTGCCTGCCTGCAGCCTGCTTCTCTCTCTCTCTCTCTCTCTCTCTCTCTTATTTATACTGCCCAGCTAACTTCGACTCAAGAAGAGTACTTGGCGAGCAGTGAATTAGTATCATCATCATGGTGGGCATGGGTGGTAGAGAAAGGTCATCGTGGTCTGTGTTGATGCCTTCAACAACCCAGCAGCGGCACCCCTCCAATCTCGAACGCTTTCTTCAATGTGTAACTCCAACTCCTCCTTCTAAATTCCTTCCTCAGGTACCGAGTCCTTGCTGTATAATTATTAATGTGCCCTTTAATTCCCTTCTTCTCTCTCTTTTAATTAGATGTTCCTTTTCTTCTATTTATTGAAACACTAGGATTGGAAGAATTATTTGGTTGTAAATTCATAATCCACTATTTTAACAATTTACCATTTAGCTCTTAAATATAATCGTCGTTTTCTTAATTTGTCCATACATATATAATATACTCTATTTAATTAGAATAATGTTTTTTTGGGCTCTTTTGGCTTTTTTGTTTTGTTTGTGTCTCATCAAGGAAACTATAAATTGAAGAGGAAAAAAGGAAAGAAAAAGAAACGCTGCTGCTATATTTGATCTCAACTGTTCAGCCTTTACTTTGGGGGAGATGTCGATGACCTCTGCTTTTTTTTCTTTTTTTTACTTTCCTCTTTTTTTACTTTTAGGTACAAAAAATGACTGATGAGATTGGCCACGTATTAATAATATTCATGACTCCTCTTCTTGTACTGTGTGGGCCTAAGTAGATTGACATGATTTGTCGTGATGTAACCGGGCATGGCCCGTTTTCAAAATGGCCTCATCCAGTTCCAGCAGAATACTTGGCGGATGCCGCGAATATCCTCATCCTCTAATTGAAAGACACTCACACGCGCGCGCACACACACACACACATTATAGAGATGGGATAATGTGATGATTGTCTCTTTCTTTCCTTTTTCTATCTTTTTTTTTTACAGCCGCATGAGTTATTTGCCATGTGTTTCCCGTTGCTGCAACTCTTAGATTGGGTTAACTTTTTGCAAAAATATTTTGTAATTAAAATATATATTTTTAATTTTTTAAACCTTTTACTTTAATACATAAAAATTATAAAAAACATTTTAAAAAACCAATTTAATACCTTTTAGAATAAAAATTAATTTAAAGACCGGATTGAACCACCAAAATAAATACAACCTAACGTACTCTGGAAGAGTCCAAACAGATAAAAGTTGTAATCTCTAGTAATGAATTTTTGAATTTTAGTCCTTTTTGATGCTGATGGCAGTGACTAAGTGCCAGCTCTTCTTCTTCTTTCTTTTTAATTTAAGCCAAAATGTCACAGTCCCTGGGCCCCTGCCCTGGATGATGGATGGATTGGTCCTGGGCACGTGGCAGTGTGATTAGGAATCTTTTTATATCGCTTACCAGATCCAAACATATAGCGCCCGCCGCATACACACACATGCATGGTCTTTCTTGTGTAGTTGTTTGACTCCAGGATCTTTATGGACTCATTGTGTGTTGCTTCGCGCTCAATTTGCAGTTTCTTTTGCAACCCATTAAAATAAAATAAAAAACCTAAAAGATAACGAGGTGATTTATTATCTGCTTACCACTACAGCCTTAGCCCTTCTCATGAATTACTATTTTTTTTTAGTTTTTATTTTTTAATACTAAGTTTATTGAATAATTAAATTTCATAAATTATTTAATTTACTTTTTAAACACCATAAATTTAAAATGTTAATTAAATCTTATAATTTTTATAATTTATTTTTTATAAGGTTATATAATCTTAAGTTAATTTAAATTATTTTTGTGTCATGTTTTATTAATTTTTTAATCTTAATTTTATTTTTTAATATTAAATTTATTGAAAATTATATTTTTAAGTTATTTTAATTTATTTTCTATGAGATTATTACGGTTTTATAATTCAAATCATAGATTTAACAAAATAATTTGGTAAACTTGACTATTTTTTTCTAATTAATTTTTTAAAATTTTATTTTTTAATATTTAGTTAATTAAAAATTAAAAATTATAATTTATTTTAATTTATTTTTAACTAATCTATTCAATAACCGCGTAGAAGCATATAAAAACACAAGAAAGAAAATATAGAAACCTATAAGATTTTTTTTCATTTTTCCAAAGATAAGGAAAAACAGCCAGCTAATCTTAATTCTAAAAGGAACAAAATCTCTCCTTGGTGGGTTAGCCTTGTACATGCTCTTGGAACATCTACTGCTGGTAATCTTGAAAATTTGCTTTCTTGAATACTCTGCAGAGCTGCATTCATGATCTAAATAGCTTATGGCAACCACCTGGTACCAAGGATATGATTGAATATTTCACTTTGGGAGATTTATGGGGTTGCTACGATGAATGGAGCGCATATGGTGCTGGCACCCAAGTAGTATTGAGCAGCGGCGACACCATTATGCAATATTATGTCCCTTACCTGTCAGCCATTCAGATTTACAGCAATAAGTCGGTGGTGGCTTCCAGGTTTTGTAACCTTTTTTCTATTCATCTTTTATCTACCAAAACTTTAGCTGATATATAGCAGTTCCGTTATCTCTGATGATTTGCGGCAGTTAAGTTGAGCTACCCCGCTTTTCTTCTTGTAGGAACTCCAGAGAGTATAATGACGTTGTCGAACTTGAAAGTGATTCTTGGAGCGATGACAGCATGAGTCATAAACCGTCCAGGTCTCTAAGCAACAATTCCAGCAAGACATGGGATACCATTTCCGAGGATTCCAGCTATGACCATGAGGGTTGTTTGTCAATGAGGGATAAGCTTGGCTATCTGTACTTTCAGTACTTCGAGATATCTTCTCCTTACTGGAGGGTTCCACTTATGCATAAGGTTATTTTTTTTCTTCCAGTAATTGATTTCGATTTAGCAGTAACAGCCCTATAAATCCCTAGAAAATGATATGCTTTTGTCTTTATTTCTACCTAGGTGCATGCATGCTGATTTATTAGTTATTTTCAGGTAACTGAATTATCAAGGAATAATCCGGGATTAATGACACTTAAGAACGTGGATCTTTCTCCAGCAAGTTGGATGGCAGTTGCTTGGTAAAAGTTATTAGTTCTTGCATTTGTGAGTCCAGCTTTTTTCTTATCCATAAAAAGGTTGTAGTAATTGTACGGTCTTGATTGTTGATTAGGTACCCTATATATCATATTCCATCTCAGGGAAACGATAAGGACTTGTCAACGTGCTTCTTGACTTATCATACACTGTCATCATCATTCCAAGGTATCTTAATCTTGCACCGTTAATTTATTTCCACATTTTTGTCTGGCTTTTTCGATTTTCAAAGAACGAAGCATCTTTGTCTCATTTCTTTCAGTATCATTTTTTAACATGGTTATCCAAAATGACATGGAATTGCTGATATCAACTTTCCTGGGTTAGCACAGTTTCAACTTCTTGCACTGCCATCCTTGTGTTTTATAACGTCTGATGCTTTACAATGTAGACTGAAAGCAGTGCATTTGATAATGCCTTTCTGATTATTGATGTAAATAGGTATTAAACAGCTCCTACGAATGAAAATCAGGAGTTGATTGGGTTGTAGACTTTTCATGGCTGTAATTCTTGTTTTGCTCATTGCTGTCTGCTTCCATGTCTATCCAATGTGGGAACTTTTGGCTTGATTTGTTCCATGGCCTTGCAGATCAATCTACTCTTCGCTATACATCTATCCATTTTAGAGTCAATTGTTGTCACCAATGCTTTTAAGTTTCTTCACCTTTGTTGGCCTTCGATTCTGCAGATTGTGTCAATGGGGATGATGACATTGAAGCAAATGGAGCCGGAAGTGAGCAAAAGGGAGAAGGAAATGGTGAGATTTCCCTTCCCCCGTTTGGTCTGGCCACGTACAAAATGCAAGGGGGTCTTTGGATAAACCCAGAGACATCTGATGATGAAAGAATGATCTATCTTGAAAGTGCTGCTGGTTCCTGGTTGAAGCAGCTAAATGTCCACCACCATGATTATAACTTTTTCACCAGCTGCCACTGCACCATGTAAATTGGTTTGTGCTTTAACTTGTTTCCCTCCTAGCTTGGTTCGTGTTTCTCTAGTGATTCCGCAACCTCCATGAAAGCAGTCCCTCTTCGACAGTTGTGACTGCTTTCAGAAACTAATTCGTTTCGATATTAATGTACAACTATACTAAGCGTTCTTGGGATCGATAAGCATATATGTAAATGTTTTCAAAGCTAACGTGTTTTTCACAATCCATGATTCCCCAAGAATCCAATGGCTTCTTGATCCAGAAAGTTTTGTTAGAGGGGGAGTTTGTTTTGTGGACTGAGTTTGTTTCCTTCGCAAAGAAGGAGAAGAGAATACAAGTAAGAGTTTGTCGAATGGCAACCTAGTTTCTTTTGTATCTTATTATCCGAACTTGTATAAGGATTGGTTTTTTAGTTTATCTGTGAAAAGGATTGTAAAATGTAAATGGTTTTGGTTTCTTTCCTTCTAGTTCAGAATGCACTAGCTACTCATGAGAAAACCATGTGCAAATTACACGAAATTTGTTAATCATAGATCGTCTTTGAAACAAAATTGATAAAATTAAAACGTTTGGGACTTAATTGATAATGGAGTTGTATGTTTGGGACTAAATTGACATTTCTCCTTTCTTTTTTAAGCACACTATCAACTACTACACTAAATAAACTGGGCTTCTAATAAGTGTTTTTTTTATTTTTTTTCACGTATTTTTCTTTTTCTATATATTCATTCTTGATTGAATTTTAAGTTGGTTGTTACTTTTTTTTTTAATTTTATCTTCTATTTTTTTCTTTCCAAGTATTTTTTTTCTTTTCATTAAATGCTTTTTTTTCTTTTTCTTTCAATTTTATACTTTAATATTTATTTATTTTGAATTGGTTATCATAATTTATTTTGATTGAGATTATCACAAATAAACATTTTGTTATTTGATTAATACTTAATTTTGAAAATGTTTATTTTTTTTTATCATGTCATTAAATAAAAAAATATTTTTTTTTAAAAAAAACATCTTTAAACCTAATAGAATCCATGATGCAAGTTTGACAAGTTAAGTCGTGAAGTTTTAAAAAAAATTAAGTCAAATTATGTTTTTACTAGTCGTTCATTTTATTTTTAGACCCATCAAATAGACTTGATTACATATGAATAAATCTTATATGTGCTAATTTTAAAACAAAATTGAGCAAAGAATCTTGTCGGAAGGTTTTAAGGTTGATTTGTTGGGTCTGATTTAATAATAATGTCAAATAATTTTTTTTTTAATTCTATCTTTCAATTTTTTTGAATATGTTTTTGGATTTTTTTCAATTTCATTCTTTGATATTTGATTGATTTTTTAATGATTTTTATAATATATTTTATTTTGCTTTTTATGAGGTTACTGCAGTCTTAAATAAACATTTCAACTTTTGGTTAGCGTTTAATTTTGAAAGAATATATTTTTGTTATTATATCATTACATAAAAAATAGTTTTTTTTAAAAAAATAAAATTGTTAAATTTTATAGATTTTATGATCTGGGTTGTACGTTTGACAGGTTAAACTGCGAAGCTTGGATCGATCTAATGTCTTTATCTCAATTTTTTTAAAAAAATATCATTTTGAATTTTTTTAAAATCCAAATCATATTTTTTTTTTTTACCATTCATCTAAGTTATCTTTAAAAATATCAAAATATACATTTTATACAAGTTAATTAATTTTAAATTCAAGTTATACCTGGAATTAGGTCAAGTTTATTGTGTCAACTAGGTGTGTTATTTCTATTAACAATGCATATTTTTTCTCATTTCACTAATTAAACTTTTTTCTTTCTGATTAGCATGACTTCATATGTTTAGGTTTCCTTTAATTTGCATATCAAAAGTAAATATTTCAGTGGTAAATTAAGGATAATTTTGCAAAATAAAATTTTAGTTTCTAGTTAAAAAATTAAATTAAAAAAAGGTTCAAATTTAACAAAAAAAAAACTCCATTTAAACTTGGGTGCCAAAAACTTCACTATGCTCCCTAAAGTTTTACTCTATATATTTATTTGGTCCTTTTAAAAAAAATTACATATGACTTCAAACCTTATTTTTTTCACACTGTAATTGTTGGATGTTGAGACAAGAGATTGCCTAAAAGTTGAGAAGATAGAAAGTACTTTGATGATTATATTCTAATTATCATAAAAGCTAATTTTCATATTAACAAGTTTTTTTTAAAAAAAGTTATTATATATTAACCATGATATAAAAATTAGATAACAATGTATAAAAGTTTTTATATTTGTTAATGTTTTGTTTTTTTAAAGTGATTAGATAATGTTTTAAGGTTGAAAATTTATTTATTCAAGTTTCTAAAATATTCTTAAAATATTTTCATGTAAAAACAAATTAAAAATATGTTACTCAGATGAAAAAACTCATACTCAAAATTTAATACATCTTTAAAAGAAAACCAACTAGGCTCATGAGCTTTGGCTTCTAGATCCAACACCCCTTGATACTCGGTGTATGAGCTGAATTTTTTTTATTTACTTCTCATTACTTTTTTTCTATTTAAATCTTAATTAATACTCATTTTTTTATTTTTTTAATTATTTAGTTTATCTTTTAAATAGTGATTAAACTTTTTAATTATTTCTTTAATTTCATAATACCTTATATAAATAAGTTGCTTGCAATTGTTTTCATCTTGTATTTTTTATAAATAAGTTGTATTTGCACAATGTTTTTATAAAAATAAAAATCATTTGTTTTTAGCATTCAAAATTAACCACTAGAAAAAAATAAATAAAAGTATATGAAATAATTGAAATCAATTGCTTATTAAATAAGATTCGATCGTCTAAAATAAAGTTTGAGGATCAAATTGAAAAAAAATTATACACTGACAAATGTACAATAAAAATCCCACATATTTTAGTATATAAACTAATTAGGTGGTTTGTGTTCCAATACAAGCCAATTTGTTTATAAAAATTATATAAAAAAACATGGGTTTGGCATTGCCACTAAACTTAAGACTCTTAGACTTGGAATTGTAGTCATATCTAACCCTTTTGAGTCTGGCCGCAACGTGAGGCCCAAGAGCATTAGGTCTCGCTGTGATACCACACCCAAAAGTAATATTTATAATATTAATTATAATACTAATAGTAACATTTATAATATAAATAATAATATTTTTATATTAATAATAATATTGTTTGACCCAAGTTTTTATAGTTTTCAATCATTTCAAATCAAATTTATGGTTTTTCTTCCATAGTAATAATATTTTATTTCAAATTTAACAACAATAACAATAATTTTAAATCAAATTTATGGTTTTTTCAATATTAATAATATTTTTTCAAATTTATTAATTATTATAAAAATAATAATATTTATAATACAAATAATAATACTTTTTTATATTAATCATAATCAAAATAATATTTATAAAAAAAAATAAATTTAATATTGATAATAATATTAAACTTGCATGACTCAAATTTAAATAAGTATGACTGCAACAATAGGTCTAAAAGTTTTAGGCCATTCTTAAACATTAGACCCAAGAGTTTTAGGTTTGGCTACAATGACGAACCTATTAGACTTGAGTCAAGACATTGAATCTAAGAGCCTTGGGTTCTAAAGTCAACCCAAGAATCTTGAGTCCTGCCACCTGACCCATTAGCCTTGGATCCAAACATTAGACCCTAAAGCCTTGGGCCAGAGGAGTTACAAGACCCAAAGGACTTTGTTCTGCGTCCCCGCTACACTTAAGCAACTTGGGGTTGGAATGAGTGAAGTGTCCCCTTTCAACCCCAAGTTTCTTGGGTCTAAAAGGAGATGTCAAACCCAAGTTAATAATAATAATAATTGATTTCATCCTTCAAATCAAAATAATATTTATTTCAAATTTAATAATATTAATGAATTTAATAATATTTATAATCTTAATAATAATACTTAACTTGTTTGGTCCAAATTCTTATAGTTTCTTTCTTCAAATAAAATTTATGGTTTTTCTTCTATAGCAATAATATATTTTAAATTTTTTTAATTATTATATTAATTATAATTAAAATAATAATATTTATAATACAAATAATAATATTTTTAATATTAATAATATTATTAAACTTGTCTGATCTAAGTTTAAGTGACAACACTAGCCTCCTCTTAAATGTCAAATCCAATAGCCTTGGGTTCTGATATCGGACCTAAACGAATTGGGTACAACACTGAATCCATTACTCTTGAATCCAGACACCTGACCCAAGTGTCATGGACCTGGACGTCGAATCTAAAAGCTTTAGATCCTAACGCGGAATCAAATAGATATGGTTCTGGATGTCAGATCATAAATATTTGGGTCATGACACTCGTTCTAAAAGCTTTGGAATCCAATACTGAACCCCAAAGTCTTGAGCCAGGTAGGGCTACAAGATCCAAGATACTTGTATTTGCAGTCCTGCTATATCCAAACAACTTGAGTTAAGTATTCCTTCCAAACAACATCTAGAAGGGAATGTCAAACGCAAGTTATTAGTAACAACAACAACAACAATTAATTTTACCTTTCAAATCAAATATATATTTTTTTATAGTAATAATATTTATTTTAAATTTAATAATATTAATTAATTTAATAATATTTATAATATTAATAATAATATTAAATTTGTCTGGCTCAAGTTTTTATAATTTTTAATCTCTTCAAATAAATTTTATGATTTTTGTTTGATAGTAATAATACATTTATTTTTTAAAATTTATTAATGACGACGACATCAACAACAACAACATTAATATTAAACTTATCTGACTCAAGCTCTTATAATTTTTAATTTTTTCAAATTAAATTTACAGTTTTTTTTTATAGTAATAATATTTTATTCCAAATTTAACAACAACAACAACAACAACAAGAATAATAATTTTTAATTTTATTCTTTAAAACAAATTTATGGTTTTTCTTCCTTTGTGATAATATTTGTTTTTCAAATTTATTAATTACAATAACCATAATAATAATAAGCATAGTAATAATTTTTAAGTTTACCTTTAAAATCAAATCTATGGTTTTTTTTCAATAGTAATATTTTTTTTTTATTTTAATAATTATAGTAATAATAATATTAAACATGCTTGACTTAGGTTTTTATAGTTTTTAATTTCACCCATTAAATAAATTTATTAATAATAATAATAATAAGAATAATAGTAATTTTTAATTTTATCCTTTAAATAAAATCTATAGTTGCTTTTCAATAGCAATAATATTTTTTTAATAATAATAAAAATAATAATATTAATAATATTATTAAATATGCCTGATCGAAGTTCTTATAGTTTTAAATTTTACCCTTCAAATCAAATTTACGGTTTTTCTTTAATAGTTACAATATTTTTTTTCAAATTTATTATTATTATTAAAAATAATACTAATAATTATAAAAATAACAACAACAACAACAACAACAATGATTTTTAAATTTATCCTTCAAGTGACTTAGGTCAGGTGGGGGCGAACGAGTCTGCAAACCCAAACGCTTGTCTACAAAGACGGGCGAGCTTGTAGTTAGGTACATGAGTTTGACTCTAGCGCTTAGGGTATAACAGGTGTGTTTATTTTCCTGATTGCTTCTGCGTTTGAAGCAAACCACGAAAATTACATATTTGGTAATATATAAACAACTATTTACTGTTTGTGGTTCCCAGTTAAATTTTTGATGAAAACATAAGTGAAAAAAAAGTTGCTTCTCAAATACTGTAGCGGGAAGTGCAGAGTGAGAATTTTACTAAGCACTTCCCGTGAATAGTCTGCACTATTCATGATCGGCCCGGGTCCGGTCCAAACCTAAATATATTAGACCTGGTCCGGGTTCGATCCAAAATAAATAAATGCATTTTTTATTTTTAATTATGTTTTATATAAAGAAAAGTGTTTAATATTATTTAATAACATTATATAAATTAGAAGGAGATTGCATGATAGCATAACATTTGTAAAATTTGATAGTAATTCCAATTTTGTTCCTGATGATATTTTACGTGATTTTGGTGCATGCCAAAAAAACTATAAAAATTATGGTCCTTGTTAGATGAATTTCGTACTTGATAGAATTTTAGATAGTTTAATGAAACAATAAAAAATATTTTATATAAAATATTATTTATTTCAAGATGTAATAGCAGTAATATCTGAGCCTACTAGGATCTAGGTAGGAATAGTAACATAAAAGACATAATTTCTAGAAAGAACAGAATCCATTAGACTACAAGTATGCAATTAAATGGTGTAACTCCCGTTTGAGTTTTAAGGTAATAAATCCATATAACCTGCAGCCTATTTCCTAATTTATCTTTCCTTTTTATGAATTATGTTTTTCACAGGACTACTTTTATCTCAGCTTCCTCTGAATCTTCTAAAAGCAGAAGGATTGTATAAAGTGAAGAAATAACTATTGAAGATTTTAGAAAAAACATTGATGATTGGAAAATTTCAAAAATTTCTTAAACTCTGATTTATCAAAAATCTAAATATAATATTTTCAAAATAGATTTTACTATCAAAACTGAAGAAAGAGATATTCAGTTTACAAAACCTTTGAAACCATTCAACTCCTCTCTCCAAAATCCCTACAAAAACATCTAGCCCTAAACTATAAATATATTTATGTTGACCTTTTCCAAGTCTAGATAAAACTCCTTACAAAAAAAGGCTTAAATACTCCATTTTAGTTGTCCTCTGATATGCTAGATTTCAAAACTTCCAAGACTCCCTTCTCAGTTCTATTGAGTCGAGCTTATGCAGTGGTCCGGTATCATTTGACTGTTATCCAAACATAACCATATCCTTCAAAGACAAAAATATTTTGTAAAGTATGCTACTACAAATAAAGACCCATAATTAGACATGCTCGAAGGATCTATCCTTTTTGCTTTTATATTCAAAATTCACTATAAAGTCATGTTCTCAGCTTTTGTTAGCAAATACAAATTCCAATATAAAAAAGGAGAAACACTCATTCTAGAAACAAATTTATCTCGCTCAAAAACTGTTGTCTCAAAAGCAAATCCAATGGAAAGATATATCCCTTCCAAAAAATTGGATCCACGAAAGTGCAATACTACCAGAATTACCTCAATCATCTCAATGCAATGTCCAAATTTAAAATATTACCCAATACATAGATGGCAACGTCAAATTATCTTTCTACTGACACTCTACAAGTTCTAGATTCTTAGAAGCCTCTTCCTCTTCTAGTACAATAGATTTAGGAGGAATTTTTAAAATTCCTTCTGTTATCGATATCCTTTATCATACAAACCCTTTTAGAAAATCTACATCAAATATACCATAACCTGTTTATACAGATCTTGAGCAACCTTCTCCTCCAACTTCACCAACCTTTTCAGTTATTACTAAAAACATCTAAAATTAGTTGAATATTTTCACTTTAGAAAAGCATTTTATCATAAACAAAACTCTTCTCAAAAGAGATTTTTATGGTGATCATAATAGGGAAAAACGATCTTGGTTTTTTCAATACTTCCTTCAACAAAGAAATGATATTCAAAAACAATTTTATGCTTAATAAAGGAATGATATTCAAAAACAATTTTATGCTTATATTGAGACCCATAACGTTCAAATTTTATTCTTTAATTGGTTTGAATTCCATTATGTACCAGCATAACATATTACATATTCATTTGCATCCATTAACCATGCATGTCCTATTACAACCAGTTCAAAAACTCCTACATGGACTCTTACTAGTGGACCTACAGTTAAGTCTAATTATCCATCTTTACGCAACATATAACTTACCCACAAAGACCAAATACTTGATACAGCCCCATATAAATTACCTGGTGAAGATACCCTCACAAATACCAAACATATCATCCAACAAAACAATTTCACAAATATCAACCTCTATACCATCGGTAAACAACTTACTAGATTGGAAAAACACATACAAAAGACCCTGGTCCACTTCATGACTGATAAAAACCTTATCATCCTTAAGCTAAAAAACCCAGTATTCAAACCATATCAAGTTTCTAAAACGAGCAAAGCATAAATTCAAGAAAATCAAACAGATTTTCTTATAGTCATTAAAATACACTTACAAAACCTTGACCGGACAACCTTGACTGTCCCAGACACCCCCCAACAATCCAACCCTTCATCCTCTACAAATCACATTAGTACTCTCCAAAATAACCTTGTATCAACCTGTGATACAAATACTTTTCAAGATCAACCTTTTCAACTAAATATACTCGCTTGGTAAGCTCCCAAAACAACCATTGCTCCATATATATCCATAACTACTGAACCAATTGTCATTAGCCAATGTAAATATAATGCATCTTCCCTCTATGAATGGCATATAGATGGCATGTCAGAGTATAATATCCTAAACACCCTCCAACAAATGACCATGACAGCTAATACCTATAAAACCCAAACAGGAATCTCAGATAAAGCCATACCTGAACTTCTTATTGCAGGTTTCTTTGGCCAACTTAAAGGATGGTGGGATTACCATCTCACTGAAATAGATCACTTATATATTATAAACTCACAAACCTATGAAGACCAAACACTTATCCTTAACCCTTCAGGAAACACCATCCAAGATGTTGTATCCACCTTTATCTTTACCATCCTCTTATATTTTATCGGAGATCATTCCAATCTAAAAGATAAAAATGCTGAACCTCTCTCCAACCTTCGGTGCAAAAAACTTAGTGACTTTTAATGGTATAAAAATACTTTCGTTACTTGTGTTATGCTTCAAGAAGATTCAAACCAGCCTTTTTGGAAAGAAAAATTCCTTGTACGTTTACCGATTCTCATAGGAGAAAAGGTCCGAAATAAAATCAAGGATACCTTTACTACCAAAACCATACCATATGACTAGCTTATATATGATAAACTTGTGAGCTTCACACAAAAAAAAGGTCTTAAGATCTGTCAGGATCTTAAACTTTAAAAACACTTAAAGTGGAAAATGAAACATACCAGACAAGAGCTTGGTAGTTTTTGTCACCAGTTTGACCTTTTCACTAAAATACCCTCCTATAGTGGAACCTGTTCACAACCCAAAAAATATTCGAACCAAAAGCCTACTTATAAAAGATCGACTCATAAATACTAATAACAGTTTTATCTCAAACCAGATCAACTTTATTACAAAAGCCCTATAAATTTAACAAATCGCATAGACCTTTCTAGTTAAAACTCAAACCAAAATTTGACCCCAGATATATTACATGGTACAAATATAATCAGAAAGGACATACATCTCGTTTCTGCAAAGTCAATACCAAACTTCATGAGCTCCAAATAAATAAAGATACCATCAATCAAATACAAAATCTTTATATTGAAGCCACGGACACTGACCACTCTCTTTCAGACACTTCTGAAGAAGAATTTTAAATTGATGAAATAGTAACTGTTAGTGTTACTTCAGATACCTTTACAAATTATAAACAAATTAACGTCCTAACCCAGGACCAAGAACTCATTCTTAAGGCTATCAAAAGACTTGATGATCCTCATCTTAAAAAAACCTACTTGGATAAATTGTTGCAAGATTTCAACTAACCAGAGCACCCTCTAAACCGCACTATATTACCCTCTACCAGCACTAATACTTATGACCTTATAAAGATTCTTAACAAAAAGAAATCCAAAACCACAGTCACCATTCCAGAATTACATTTTGAGATCAAAACCTTTAAATCCAAATTACAAACCCTAAAACAAGCCCAACAGAAAGACTCTGTCATATTATAACATCTTCTGTCTAAGATTGAAAGCCAGTCTGATACTAAGTCTGAACTGGAAGATCAAACCATTGAATCTTATGCATTGCCTCATACACTTACAAATATTAAGCATATTCCAAATGATTTCCTGAATGTATTAACACAAATATCTTCAAAAAAATATTTGATTAAAATTACTCTTATTTTTTCAAAAGATTTCAAACTTGACATTATCGTTTTATTTGACACAAGTGCAGATTTGAACTACATCAAAGAAGGCGTTATCCCAAAATAATTTTTACAAAATACCTCTGAAAAACTCTATGATGCTAATAATTCAAAATTGCATATTGTAGGAAAAACCTAAGACTCTATTTTCAACAATGACATTTCTCTTAAAAAATTATTTGTTGTTACAAAAGATATAAATCATACTATCATTTTTTGCTCTCCATTCATTGACATAATCACTTTATATCAAGCACATTATAATTGTATCACTTTCAAAATCAATAGCATTAAACTTGTTTTTCCATTCTTAGAAACATCTAAGACTCAAAATTTAAATTTGATTAAAGCATTCTCCATACATACATATCATATCAATGCATTGATTAATAGAAAACAATTCCATTTACATGATTTATAAAATTGTGTTTCTTTATGTCATATCAACAAGCAATTACAAAACCCTGATTTACAAAAAAAATCATTGATTTACAAACTAAGATTGAACAACAGATTTGTTTAGACTTACCTAATACTTTTTGGAAACAGAAACAACACATTATTGATCTTTTATATGAAGATACTTTTTAGAAAAACTTATACCTACAAAAGCAAGACCTATACTAATGAATGTCGATTTAGAATAACACTACAAACTTGAAATTCGTGATCTCGAGTCTAAAGGTCTCATCCAAAAGTCTCGATCACCCTGGTCGTGTGCAACCTTTTATTTGAATAAAAACTCTAAAATTGAAAGAGGCACACCAAGACTTGTGATCAATTACAAACCTTTAAATTCTGCTTTAAATTGGATTAGATATCCAATCCCCAATAAAAAAGATTTATTGCAAAAATTGCACTCTGCATTTATATTTTCTAAATTTGATATGAAATTTGAATTTTAGCAAATCTAGATTGATCCTAAAGATAAATACAAAACTGCTTTTATAGTTTATTTTGGCCTATACGAATGAAATGTTATGCCTTTTGATTTAAAAAAAATACACCGTCTGAATTTCAACGCATCATGAATGACATCTTCAATGTATATTCAAAATTTTACATTATTTATATGACCGATGTGTTTATTTTTTCACAGTCCATAGATCAATATTTTAAACATCTCCATACATTCTTTTATACTGTAAAACAAAATGATTTAGTTATTTCTAAAACAAAAATTTCTCTTTTCCAAACCCGTGTCCATTTCCTAAGCCATTATATCTGCCGAGGTACTGTTACACCAATAGAGCGATCTTTAACCTTTACAAGTAAATTTCCTGATAAGATCACTGATAAAACCTAATTGTAGAGGTTTTTAGGTAGTCTAAATTATGTTCTGGACTACTATCCCCATATTAGTCATCTAGCCAAACCTTTATATAACAGGTTAAAAACCAACCTCGTTCCTTAGTCTGACCTCTATACCGATCTAGTCAAACAAATTAAGAAACAGGTCCAAACCATTCCTCTCCTCTATTTAGCTAATCCATTAGCTTCTAAGATAGTTGAGACCAATGCCTTTAACATAGGATATAGTGGAATTCTTAAACAAGTACAAGATAATAAAGAACAAATACTCCAGCACACATTCGCCCACTAAAATGATTATCAGAAAAATTAATTTACTATAAAAAAGGTGATCCTTTCAATTGTTCTTTGTATTAAAAAATTACAAAGTGATTTATTAAATCAAAAATGTTTTTTACGTGTTGACTGCAAATCTACAAAAGAAGTTTTATAGACAGATATCCAAAATCTTGCTTCAAAATAGATTATTGCCCACTGGCAAGCTATTGTAAGCATTTTTTATTTTGATATTATCTACATTAAAGGAGATTCAAATTCTATCCCTGATTTTCTAACCCGAGAATTCCTCCAAAATAGGTCCTGATGCCTTCTAATGCAAAAGCTAAAAATAAGAGGAAAGCCCCATAAATCCAGCCTACAAAACTATAAAGCCCTAAGCCTTCTACAAAACTTATGTCTTCAGCCATCTTAGCTGTCAAACTTATCAAATCCTGGTATGAGGCATTTATTGAAGAAGACGAAACTACAAAACCACCACAAGTCCAACCAGACACAGTTCAACATTGAGTTGACATTATATCCAAATCACCAGAATTACTCCTACCATTACAAAAAATGTCCCGAACAGGCCTCTAGTGACTTCGTATCTCAAATAGGTAGTATCTTCAAATCCTTTTTAAAACCTCAAGGAGGTCTTTTTACTTTAAAACCCCTTATTTCTTTACAACAAACCAGTTTTTCAGAAATCAAATCCAAATATATTTTCAAAATTACTTTCTAAAATATTTTAACTATGAAAAAAGGATTCTATCATGAAAACCCTTCCACTGCTGCTTCAAACATTTTCCCTCCAAATTGGTATTACAAACCCTGGAATTTAGCCAAATCATAATCCTATCATGCCGCCATCCTTGAGATTACCAATTTTATTAAGTTCAAATACTTTAAACTACATTCTAATCACACTGAACCCACTTATTCTACATGCATTATTCACAAAGTTATCCACCCTAAAGATTGGGGGCAACCCGTACATCAACCTCTCTCTTTCTCTATACACTTCCATACAAACCCTTAGGACTTCAATACTTCATATATGTATTGGGATTACTAACACCCATGGTTCAATGCCTTTCTCCTATAAAATCAAAACTATAGCCATTCTTGGATTTTCTACTTCCGAAGTACCATGAATACTATAAACCTCCCCCTCTGGTTCCTCCAATGAGAGGAATACTATGGTTGTTGATTAGTACTTAAAAATATATTTTTATTAAGGTTTCATATCATTATTTTGTACTTAAAGTATCAATAACTTCTTAACTAAAACATGTTTTATAATAACATATCTAATAATATAAGATACCTTTAATTTATGATAAATGTTCATTTTAAATGCAAGCCTATCACATAAATAAAAGGATTGATTGATGAGTTTAAAAATTAAAATTGAAAAGACAAAGAGATGGCCAACCTTAGAAAAGAGATGCTGGTGTAGTTCAAATCGGAATATTATTCGGTAATTGGGTTATATCTGGAGCTATAGATCTCAAATTTAGATCTACTTTATATGGATGAAAAGGTAAGACATAAGTCTACAACTTTCAAGTAGAGGTCTGGTTTTAAAAAGGCTATTTTCAAGTCTAAATTATAACAAAAATAATGAATTATGAATTTGTCCTGTAGCCCGAACACTGTTCAGTGTTTCTTCTATATTTAGAGTTCTAGAAGTCCAAATTCATGTTTTCAAGTGGCTCCAATTTTGACGTTATCAATGATTTTTTAGGCGTACAAGAGAAAATAAGGATTGTCATCAAATCAAGAGTTGACCACCCACTCATCAATTAGTCATCAAATCAATAGTTTCCAATTTTGGCCTATAAAA